CAACTCGCAACAAAATGATTATCTTAGCAATTTATAAAGATTTGAAAATCTCATATGACTAAAAGATTTGGAGGTCATTTAGTAAATATATTAATTTAATTAATTTATTTTATATAAAAAACGTTTATTATTTTATTTTATTTACAAAAATTTATATATAAATTGATAATCACATTATCCGTGAAGATTTATTATGATAATGCAATCATTTTAAATCTCTCTGAAAATTCCTTGAATTTTCACACAAAAGCAACTTAGATATTTTATTGATTTAAGTTAAAAAATAATAAATAAGTAAAATTAATTATTATGGAGAATCATTAGAATCATTATATATACAAGTTAGATCTATCCACCTGCGAAATCTTATTGATTTTCACGGTAGATTATCATTTTAAAATGCCTATGCGGATTTCTTAAAAATCTCACATGACTAGGAAATTAAAAAAAATAGGGATTAATACTATGATCCAACCATACCCAGAATGGTCACCATGAAATTAACAATTTCTCATAATTAATTAACAAATTCTCATGATTAATAAGAAAACATGATCTGATCACAAAGGGGCATGAAAAAAAATGTGATTCAAACCCATAACCATACTTTCATATACTCATCTAACCATACAGATGCAGAGATAATTTCAAACATTCATCTAGCACATACATGTATGGAGCTAAACCAAGATCATTCGTTGAACACATAAATGTATTAATCTAAGCCCAGATCATTCATCCAAAACATGCATACATTGAGCAAATCCTAGATTCATTACTTCAACACATACATATATAGTGCTAAACCCAGATCTTCCTGTCAATCAACCGAATAAAGAGAACACAAAAGAGAAAAAAAATATTTCTAATTTCAGCTCCAGATTCCCAACACCAAATCATAGTCAGAAAGAATAAGAGGCAGATAATCAATTAGGCAATATAAGCTACTCAATCAAAGCTAGAGTAATTCAAATTCATGAATTTCGAACCTATTACAGCAGATGAGAATTTCCAAAATCCTCCCGGCTTCAGAGACTCAAATCATTTCCAGATTCAACTGTGGTCTTCATCAATTCTTCTCGGTCTCCTTTCTCTAGAAAAATAGACAGAGGTTCGGTTCCTCTTTGCCTAATTTCCTCTTTTCAAAAATTCATCTAACCCCCTTCCAAAAATCCTCTCAACACTTTTGTTTAAACTCTTGGTCTCTCTCCTTTTTTTCAAAAATTTTACCTAGTTCCCAACCCCCTCTCGAATCCTCAATCTCAGACTTTATATAGAGGATAAACAATCACTTATCGTTACACGTTTCCCTCTCAAATCATTACCTCTAGTTTTTACTTTTCCTTTCCTTCCGCTGAGTTTCTGTCCATGTTCGTGCTTTTCTTCTGCGTTTGTCCAAAAGTGCTCAGGGGGTAGTTGAAGTGTTCTACATCCGGCTCCCTCTCATCTAGTCTTTGCTTCTACTTTCCTCTTCCTCTCTTCATATGTGATTGTCATGCACGTGCGTTCTTCCATGTATTGCTTGTTCTGCTCTGCTTGAGCTTTCTGTCCGAAGTTTTGCTTTTGTGTGTAGCTAGCTCTGCTCTTCCCTTAGCCGAAAAGCCTGATCTAGGGCGGCTCTCTCTCTCCCCCTCTCCCTCTCATTTTCGTCTTCTCTTCCTCTATGCTAATCGAAAGGCTACTCACGTCTTCTCTGCTCTCCTCGGCCAGGTTGATGCAGAGATAAAAAAAGGGGGTAAAACGCTACATTCTGCAGCGTTTTACTCCCCTTATATTCTTTTATTTATTTATTATTATTATTATTTTAATTTTAAGATTGAGAAAAGAAAAAGAATTTAATTTTGAATTAAACAAGAACCCATCTTCTTCTTTTTAAGTTAACTCTCACAACTTTAATTAAATTAAATTTTTTTAAAAAAAGGGTATAATCCTAAAAAAAAGGGTCAAATTTCATTTTTGCCTTTATATATATATATATATATATTTAGTTATTTTAGTAAACTAGAAGAGATAAAATCCTAGTTATAAGATTAAGTTCTATTAAGAAATTTTTTGAAAATATAATCTTAAGAAAGATTTTATTTTTGTATTTTTAAACACACAAACACACACACACACATTTTGAGTTAAATTTATTATTATTTTTATATACCCAGACAGAATACAGCGTTCACAGTTACTCTTCTTTACTTATTTCTTATGTAAGTATATGAGAAAGTGTGTTTTTGAATTCTCACATAAGTGGCAAGTAAAGATAGAACATGTATTTTGGTCAGCCATATAATACTTATGAAAAGACTTAATTGCCCCTGACACGACAGGATATGATTAAATGCAAGACACAATGACATGATTTTTTTTAGCAATGTGATAAGGTGATGTGATGAAAATGATCAAGTAAAACATAGAAAGATGCTGCAAACAATTGACCATGATCCAAATAAAATATATATTGGCTAGATGCCTACCTCTATTTACTTTTCTAAGTAACGATTTCACGAGATGATATTCTTATGAATGAAGAAAGAAATACATGTTTTGTCATCTACTCAAGAGAATCTTTCACTACAGGGTTTCGAGCAGTAAGGAAGTGCCTACCCGTGTGGGCTTTTGGTGAGTGCCTGTCTTTACAGGGCTTTGAACGGTAAGGAAGTGCCTACCCATGTAGGGCTTTTGGTGAGTGCCTGTCTTTATAGGGCTTTGAACGGTAAAGAAGTGCCTACCCAAGTAGGGCTTTTAATGAGTACCTATCTTTACAGGGCTTTGAGTGGTAAGGAAGTGCCTACCCAAGTAGGGCTTTTGGTGGGTGCCTATCTTTACAGGGCTTTGAGCAGTAAGGAAGTGCCTACTAAGTAGGGCTTTTGGTGGGTGCTTGTCTTTACGGGGTTTTGAGCAGTAAAGAAGTGCCTACCCATGTAGGGCTTTGGTGGGTGTCTGTCTATACAGGGCTTTGAGCGGTAAGGAAGTGCCTGCCCATATAGGGCTTTCGGTGGGTGTCTGTCTTTATAGGGCTTTGAACGGTAAGGAAGTGCCTACTCAAGTAGGGCTTTTGGTGGGTGCCTGTCTTTATAGGGCTTTAAACGGTAAGGAAGTGTTTACCCAAGTAGGGCTTTTGGTAAGTGCCTATCTTTACAAGGCTTTGAACGGTAAAGAAATGCCTACCCAAGTAGGGCTTTTGGTGGGTGCCTGTCTTTACAGAGCTTTGCGATATAAATGTGATATACTATTTATAATGATAATTTTATTATGTATCCTCTCTCTCCTGCTTCCTCCTTTCATTATTTTTTTCATTTGTTTTTATTAAATTTCTTGTAAATAAATAATAATAATAATAATTACAATAATAAAAACGATACTAACATATGCCCTCACGCTAGGTAGAAGATATTATTACTTTATGTAATCATTTCATTTAACTAACTCATTCTCAAGATTTAGTGGCAACATATAGGATAGGTGGATAAATGAATCTAGTGCAACTCTGATAAAGTACGTGCCTCTGATTTCATCCAACACCCTAGGAATAAAATCTTTATTGTTGAAACTTGTGGGAAGAAGGGAGAGAGTCTTGTATCACATGTAAAAAGTATAATATAAAGTGTTGTGTCTTTAATAAGGCTGATTTTATGAACAGGAAAGAATGAAATGTAAATAAGAGATTATACTTCATGAAGAGTTAGTTTATCGACTGAATAAACCACTTGGAGTCACAAGAAAGAGAGAAATTTAATAGGAGAAATCTCAAAATAATAATAAAGAAAAAAGATTGGGACGAAAGAAGTCTCCTCATTAGATCCTTTATAATATTTGCAACGGACTTCTATGTCACTGTGAATATATGTGGTAAGAATTGATTATATAAAGCATCTGTGCACCTCATTCTAGTAAGACACCAATCTTTCTAACCCCTTGATACAATATTTCAGCCTAAATAACAGGTTATAAAAGTCAGGTTAGGTTGGAAACAAATTGAAATAATAAAAATTAATTTTTTTATCCAAATCATATAATTCGTGAACCATATAAAAAATTTTTATGGATATAAACTATATTATATATGAATTATTTAGTTGGATCGATTTATATATTTTATACAAATATTATAAATTAATATTTTAGTATATTTAAAATAAATCATGAAAGAATATTAAACTGAAACTTATTATTTAACTATATTTTTTAAAAATTCATAAGAATAAATTAAAAAATAAATAAATAGGTTGATTGTTTAACTCATTTAATCTATCAATCTTTAAAAATTAAAATTTTTTAACTTATAAAAACTAATTAAATTCAATTTAATTTATATTTTTCTTAACTTATATGATTTGGGTTGGTTTATAGACCATAAAAATGGTTCACTTTTTTCTGTTCGACGTGCCGCTTGGTTTAAATATTGGGTTAGATTAGAGGATCTTTAAAGGCCATTTTCACCCAAATCATGGCAGGGCAAACTTTTCAGTTCCCAGCCCGAAACAGACAAAAGAAGAATTCGACTTGCTAGACTGTCACTATTCACTCTCTCTCCAACGGAAGTTGTTTGGCACAAGTCTCCACAAAACTCTTTCTCTCTCTTTCCGACACTATCATTTTCACGGGAGTGGGGTCTTCTCACTGTTTTTCCTCCATTTTTTTTTTTTTAATTTTTATCATTTAAATTATTTTATTAAATAATTTTTTAAATGATAAAATTAATAAATGCTGAAGATCGACGATTGAAAAAGTAAAGGGAGAAAAGAAAAAAAGTGGAGACCCCTCTCCTCACTTTCACTCCCCCATTGACTATGCATCCTCATCTCATCAACGATTGAGATTTTGGTTCTTCAATGAAGATGGAAATAAGAGAAGCAGAGCTGATGGCATCGCCATTAGGGGGAAAACGATATCGACGATTAGCCCATTTTCTCAAACCCTGTATCGAAAACCCAGCATTTGATCATCTTCCCCGAACCCTCTTCTCTGAAACCGCCATTTCCATGTCTCATGTGTTATCTTCATAGATAAGATTCACAGGCTGGCTGAACCCTCTAGAACACTGGAAAACCTGGGAACAAAAGCTTCGTTCTAAGTACGAACATGTATGGAGAAACGCTGGAATACTCGAAGCAATCATAGCTTCCACATACCGTATTCAAAGGAGCGACGATTTGGTTCTCGGGCTTGCACAAAAATGGTACTCTGAAACCAATAGCTTCATCTTCTCTTGGGGTGAAGCTAGCATTACTCTGGAAGATGTAATGGCTTGTGGGGGCTATTCTGTTGTGGGATCCTCTGTTTTCACGCCTCTCAAAGATAAAGAATCGAAGCAAATGGAACAGAGGTTAGATGAAGTGCGAAGAAATTTGATAAAGACGAGAGCCAAAAAGGCAGAACATGCTCCGTGGCTGAATCATTTCATGGAGGAAGAGGGTGAGTTGGAACTCGTGGCATTTCTATCATTATGGCTTGCTAGGTTTGTGTTTCCTCGATCAATTTCAAAACAATTTTTTCCCATTGCTATACATCTAGCTAGAGGCACACGAATTGCCTTAGCACCTGCTGTTCTAGCAAGTATCTATAGAGATTTGACATTGTTAAAAGGAAAATTTGTTGTGGCTGTAAACTCAGTGACTAACAGTGATGATGAATGTGGTATATCTGCTAAACCAATAATCTTAAGAGCCCATTTTCAATTGGTTCAAATATGGGCTTTTGAGAGATTCCCATCATTTCAGCTAAGGTCTACCACAATTGAGCATGGTCAACCTTTGACAACAAAATGGCACCAAGTAAGAATGCTGAACTATGAAGATGTGAGTTTAGCTCTAGACTCTTCTGCAAAAAGCTTTCTTTGGCAGCCATATAAAGATGCTTCAAAGTTTTACAGTGAAAATGATAGGTGGGTATGCTTCAATTCAGATTCTAATGTTGATTTTGAGTCATTTGCTCGCTGCCTCAGGCATTCTGAGTTGTTGGGAATGGATTGTGTAGAAATGTACCTTCCACACCGTGTGGCTATGCAATTTGGGTTGGATCAGGACATTCCAGAGAAGGTGGTTCATTGCAAGGAGAATGACAATCCTAAGATTGCTTGGAGAAACTATGACAGATCAATGACTGAAGCAATGTTGTGTATTGCTGCTGTTGCATCTTCATCTAACTTGGAGCCTGGTGTTACTTTTAAGTACCTGAAGTGGTGGAAGCAATCAAAACTTGGATCTGGTGAACGACCTGGTTTGAGCTCTAAGTCTACGAATGTCTCTGAAAAACTGTCACAAACTTCATCTGAGATGGGATCTCCTATTCATAGAGATCAAACAGGGAATAATTCTGATCAAAATCATGATGGTTCAACAATTAAAAAACTGCAGAAGAGATCTCATAGTCATGAAACTGATATTTCAATGGTGGATGGACAATCAAAAAGGGCAAAGTTAGATGCAAAAATGGAGAGTGTGATTGACAAGTCTGAAAATGCCAAAGAAGGTAAATTTGGCGAGAATGGTAATGAAAGAGAATGTGTGAGTGATTGGTCTCTGGATATATATTTCTCTAGTATTGAAACTCGGCTTGAATACCTTGAAAGACTGGTTGCTCAGCTTAAAGCAGAAAAATTTGGACCCAAATATGGGGTTGTTAGAGCCAAAACTAGTTTATCTTAGCAATGTTGATTAGATATGATTGCAAGGTAGGCTAAACTCAATTTGTAAGGAACTAACAGATCAAATTAATTACGAATGAAAATGTAAGCCTGTCAAAAGTTTATCTTTTTTTATTAATACCACCTTCATCTGCCTAAAGCATCTCTTTTTGAATTTCTTTTATATAGTATTTAGTGGCTTGTTTAAATGTGTGTTTGGTTAACATTCTAACTTAGGTGGGGATGATCCAAACTTAAGTTGGAATGTAAAGACCCCATCAAATCTTGTTTGGAAAAAATTAAAACTGAATGGGCATTGGGCGTTTAACAAGTGTTCTCTCCAAAGCTACACGAGGAAACTTCTCTGCCAAGCGTTGGGTCTGGTTGTGGACATTGGGTTCATTTAATGTTTTTTTATTTTTTATCCATCTTCTCTCTCTTCGATTTGCTCTGCCTTCACTCATCTTCAAGGTCTTCATCTCCTTCTACTCGCTGCAGACTTGACTAGCGATTGTGCTCGTCGTTGCCATCCGCCAATTGTGTGTTGCTCGTGTACTGGGTTTCATGCTAGTCACCGTCATCCCTTTTTCTTGTATTGAGATAGAGTTGCATCCCTTCTTTGAGTACCAGAATTGCACCACAGTGCCTTTCGTGGTTGCCCTTTGCTTTAAAGTTTGCCGAATCTGCTCCCTATGGCCTCTGTTTTTCTTGTTGTATTAATCATGTGATGCTGTCGCGAGGAGAGTGATGAATGGTGAAACCAATAAGATCAGCAATGATGTTGTGGGTCATGAATAATTTCCCTTGAGGGATATTTAGGATTGCCATCACGGAATAGGAGGTTAAGAGCTTTCGTAGTTAAGTTAGTCTAAGGTTTTAGAGTTCACCCAACGAAGTGATTGAGTTTATGGGCTATTGCTGAGAACCATACCATGATTATTTTATTTCTTTTCATGCTATTGAAGTTCAATTTTTTTTTTTTTTTTGTGATAATCCATTGAAGTTCTAATTTGATGATATATGTATAGGATTGTCTGTTTCTTTATTTCTCCAGCAATACTCACGTGCTTGTTATCTTGGGAAAATGAATTTATTTTAGTTTTTATAATTGAATATCTTAAATTTTATCATTTAATTATACCTTATTAAACATTAAGATTTTTTTTATTTATCAATGTATTTTATATTTGCAATTTACTTTTTTAAAAAATCATAATATTAAGTTTAATATTTTTTAAAAAAGTTATCAAATTAATCACACACACACATATATAACTGATTTTTGAATCAAATCATTTAAACAAATTTCACTTTATTTAACTGATTTATGAAAAAAAAAGATATCCAAATAAAAATTACATTAAAGCCAAAGATATTTTTTCTAACCATAATTTGTTAATCTTAGTTGAGTCCTATTTTCAGTTGTAGATTTTTTAATCTAAATACGTAATAAGTTTGTTACCTTTGGTAGTTCAGGTTATATTTCTTCTTGCTTTAGAATCTTATTACTCTTCCTTTCTCAGTAGTTCATGCTGGAATTTTCTTGTTCACAGTCATTTATTTTCTGGGCTGAACGGTGAGCAACGTCTATAATGTAAATTAAGCCACTAAAGCAGTAATAGTTGTTGTTGTTGTTGTTGTTATTATTATTATTATTTGTTTTATAAGAACTACTGAAGTTATTTTCCAACAAAGCCTTCAAGCTTAATCTTAATTGAGCCACTGTGTCCAACTTGTATTTGGTGGTTTTTCAAGTTTAATACTCTTATGTTGTATTTGGATTAAGAGGGATTTGAATCAAATTCCTCACAAAAAATTATGGATTCAAATTCAAATTCATTTCTTATTATATGAGAGAATGACAAAGAAGTTTTAAAAAAATCAATTAATTCAAGTTAGGTCTTAAGTGTTAAATTTTAAAAATTTGCAAGTTCATCTCTCAATTTTATAATTGTATTGTGATAAATTTGCACCTTGTATTTCAAATTTTAACATGAAAAATAATTTTTTTATTTTTCAACCATGTTAAAATTTAAAAAATAAGTTACAAATTCATCACAACGCAATTGCAAACTTGAGAGGTAGACTTGCAAATATTTAAAGTTTGATACTTAAAATCTAACTTGAATTAATTGGTCACATCTTTGTCATTCTCCCTATTATATTTTCTTTGTAATTTTAATTTTTAAATTCCCTCTGTACTATAGTTTTTTAAAATTTCAATCATTTCAAAACCCTTCTTCTTTTTATGTTTTCACTATTGATAATTGCTCTTATATATTTTCTTATCTCTTGTTTTCATATTTTATCGATTGAAAAATAGAAATTGAATTTCAGCCTATTTCTCTTTTTCATTTAAAATTTTTTAAACTAAAAAAAATAAAATTCAAATTTAAATTAATCAATTTTCATATTTTTCAACTTGGATTTGGTAAGTTTATTTTTTTAATGTTGTCTTATGAAAAGATATAGTAATAGTAATATGAAAACTAATATTGTGAAAACCAGATCAATCAAGGTAATGATTCATGATTCAATGGTCGAAGTATAGGTGAACCTTTGTTAAACCAAATATAATTATATTAATATTTTCTATGTTTATATGAATTATTTTAGATAGAAATAAACATAAATGGAAATAAATAATTTTCAAATAACTAATTATTATAACTTATGAAATTGTAATTAATTTGTTTAATTATGGTTAGATCATTTTCAAATTTTGTGGAACAGCTGTTTAACAAAAAATTAATACGTGTAGAAAAATTAAAAATATAAATACTTATTTATTCTTTCAAAAATAATCTCAATACAAAAAGTTGAAAATCTGTGCTTCAATTAAAAAAAAAGGATGATGCCGAGAGTCATTTTTTATTTTTTTAGAAAAGTTCCTAGCTCTTATAGCATTGGAATTGGAAAACACAAATCACATTGTATAAAGAAAAAGTAGGAAGTCCAGGTCTAGCAGGGAGTAAAAGTTACTTCTCTTCCTCCATCCTTTCTCCTTACGACAGAGCACAAATGCAATATTTTGTTCATAGGAAATCTAATAAACCAATGATACCCTCCTTCCATTTTCATCTTCTTTCTTCTGTTCTGCACAGCGTCTCAAGAATTAAAATGAGAACACAGCCACACCGCCATCTCTCATTCCATTTGTCCGATGAAGCTCTGAGTTCAACAATCATAAACCATAATCTTCTTCATCTTTGTTGGGATTTTGGGTTTTGACTTTCAGTTGCAATTGCTTGTATTTTTTCCCCCGTTTTACGTCTGTCTGCTCATTACTCCAGTAGCAAGATGCAAGGTGCTACTCGCCCTTCCTCTCTTTTCTTTCTTTCTATCTTCTGACACTACTTACACTAGTTTCTTTGCAGATTCTCGTCTCTTTGTGCTCGAGTCAATGATCAAGAATCTTCCATTTATCTTCTTCTTTTAGGGAAAATATCATCCAATGACCACTGTACAATATTTATATCTCACAAGAACCAAATGATTTCATAATATCACTGCAGCTCTATGGTTCTTTTGACATAATTTCATAGGTGAAAAGACTGAAATGCTCTCATAGTTAAAAAACAAAAAAAAAAACACCCCATCGTCGCCAGCCAGTGGTGCTGGATCCCTTGTTGCCGACGGGGTCACCAGTAGCCGATTGCCGACAGGGTCACCAGTAGCCGATTGCCGAAGGTCCAGCGCTAACGACATTTTATTTTTGAACTGAGATTTTTAGGTGGTCAAGGGTGGGTTTGATCCCATGACCCTCAACCACCTAAAAAACTTGGTGGCCTAGTGGCCACCAAGCTCTTTAACATATATATATATATATATATATATATGTGGCAAACAAAATTATAAGTAGTAAACCAAGCACAAAACCATTTGCATATAATAACCTAATATGTGTTATCAATTTCTAAACGGAACTTGTTATTTTACGAATGTCACTTGTTAATCTGACATAGACAATTATAAATTAAGGGTCTTAAAACTTTACTCATTTTACTTGTTAAACGTCCTAATGTCTTGTTGTCAATCACGAATAGGTTGTTGTCAAAATCAAATGGATACTTGTCAGTGAATGACTAACACGCACAACTAAATCATTCGTATCATTTTTTCTAACTTGTTAAAACCATATAGGCACAATGCGTCATGGCGTAATGAAACATTCTCACTCCATTAAACATAATTAACCAATATAACACCTGGCAATTAGAAACTTAACTCAACAAGATGATTACCCAAGTTCAATGAAAAGGTAAGGGATCTTAAGTTTTCGAAACAAAAAATGAGTTAAAATCAATCAAAATCTTTCATATCAGAGTAAAAATAAGTTATAAAAGTAAGGGATACCTCAGGGGAGTGAAAGAAGTCGAAAATGGTTGAAAAACAAATCATGTGTTGTGATACAGGGTAATGCGTTGTAGCTTGTATACACTATACCGTGGCGTGTTCCTCTCTGTGCTATTTGCCGTGGCTAAGATGACATGTGTCGTGGTGTGTTGCACGAAATTTCTACTGATTTTGCTGTCATTTAACAGCAAAATTGGGGGAATTTCCGACTTGCCCTGATTCTTTGTCCAACGTCTAAATGACACGATCTAGGTGTCTACGGAAAGCTCTTTACATGAACTAGCTAATAGCATGGGTTTCGCTTTCAAAACAAGTCACACTAGAAAGTTGGACACCCAAACACGTTTCAACCACTTTTCACAACTTTAACATAAAATGGGTGTCTAAAACCCTCAACATGTGCCAAAAGCTTTTTCCTAACACCTGGACCATATCTATTGGACCTAGGACTACCAATACAACACGTCACAAGCACTAAAACAATAGTATAATAAAAATTCACTCCTCAACCCCATTTTGCCAAAAATAGAGGGGGATGTAAGTTGTCATTGCATTTCACTCAAATCATTCAAAACATGTTCAAATATTTATTTCTACACTTGTACTAGTATTTTGGCCCTATAAACGTGTATATCTCAACATACACAAAGACTAAGGGCCCAAAAT